ACAAGAAATTAAAAGAACCATTCATTAAAAAATTTTAGTAATTATAGTGTTAAATTAATAGGATGTTACGAAAATCGCTGATACAGTAGAGCATAGCATTATTGGATGGATCTCGAAGATCCTTCGCGGTACACGTAGGCTTACGCGAGAGAATATGGTATTCTGACGTAATACTTCATTAGGATAAGAATCTGGGTCGTCTCGCTCTAGAAGCTGCCAGTCGATCGCGTCATCGATCCGTACTCGATGTACTTTTTTTTTGCATCTTTGACCGAAGCATGCAAAGACAATGAAATTGTAACGCGCCGACGCTAATGAGAGGCGAAGTTTCGAAGTCTTTATTACATTTTCCTATTATTATTGCAGCAACTTCTTTGTAGCACTAATCAACAACTAATTGTTATTATTGATGGTCAATTGATCGATACAAGATATTTCATGAGATTCGCGGTTATAATTCCGATAACAGAGAGAGACAAGCTAGAAATTTGAATATAATTTTTATCATTTTTAAAAATTCTATCTTGGTTTTTGTAAATTTATTGCAAAAAATAGGTTATTCAGTATCCTGTAGTTTCGCGCAATAAAAAATAAAATACCTACGCAATTAAATTAATATTTACTGATTACGAACATCTATGCAATTATAAATTAATATCGACGAAATAAAACAAAGAAAATTAGAAATATCTGTATGTAGAAATTGAAGAAGTAACTCGATCCCCGCAAATTGGCGACACGCGATAGCCGATACAAACGACCAGATAATTCTTCGTGGTACGTGATGTAGGCAGCTCCGGGGTAGAAAGATGCAACTTTCACGTTTCTCATTCGAGAGTTTCCACCTCCCGGCGAGCCATAGTAGTTGGTAATAAAGTCAGGGTAGTATATAATCTCGAGAGAGGGATCTTTTAGGCACGCCGTTCATCGGCCGCACGCTCGTGCTATTACTGGGATAATGTTCTCGTATTATTCTCCTATTTTGCGGCGTGAATGACCTGCCATCGCGCAGCTACCTCGTTATTTCGCGGCGCGGCACGCGCCTGGATTTACCTGCATGACGAATCGCGTGTTAGCCGGCGAATTAACGTTAACCGTATACGCTAGCACTCGGCATAGTTGTATATCCTTTTATGCGCCGCGTAGCGGTAATAGCGCAATGACGATTTATAATCTTAACATACAGTAGAGATCGTTTTCCGAGAGGAGGAAATCGACGGTGCTGTATAAATAGAATAATTAAATTCACAAGGCGAAAATACTTAACATAAATTATTTGAGATAATTTTAAACTTCATTCTTTTGAAATCGTAGCAGTAATAAGATTTAGAAGAAAATACCGAGTAATACGGTCATAAATATTATCTAAACATGCAGAAAAGATAACACGCGTGAAACGATAAATTGGATTTTTCATGACTTGATCTTTAATATCTAAGAGTTAACAAACTTCAACATATTTTCCTGTTAATATATTGAAATAATTTCTCAGAATGTCGTTTGCAATCAATTTTCCAAGAGTTCTTTTTCGATCGGTAGCACGAATCGAAGATCGTGAATAAAGATCAGCTGATAATCTCGCGAAACGCCTTTAATGTCATCGCCTCGAGTCCTATGTACATTTATTTCATTCGTCCGAGTATAACTGACGATAATGTCGGTGCAAATGACGCCGATGAATTGCATGGAACACACCGCAAACAACGTCGAGACGTTTAACGTCGACGTTTTTTTTACTCGAGCTTGACTTTTACGACGCGAGTTAAGATGCCAATAAAGATCGTAACGGCCGTTCATTCGGCGCTCGCCTTTTACAGAGCGAGGTGAGCCTCGCGTGCGCCAATTATATCTGTCACGACGGACATGTCCTTTGTTAAACGCCGCGATTAGCCTCATTTTATGAGATGCGATTGCCCTATCTTGCTTGCGAAATAGCGGAATATGCAAATATAATAATAAGCTTATTATTATTACTGCCGTTCTATTCGCTAAATAACATTAATCCTTGTTAAATAATTTTTTTTATGAGAGTAAATAAACACTTTTCGTTCAAAGTGGAAATTTTTAAGGAAAATATATATAATGAAATTAATTATACGATGAAATAAACTTTGTTACACAAATAGATCAAAATGGGTGAAATCTGCTGCGATAAATAAAGAATTTTTCTGGAAGATAAATATAGATCATTTTTATCCTTACTAATATAAAAAAAGTTGTGTTCGTTTAAAGAAATAGTATTTTCAATTAATATTTATCATTTTCTTTCTTCTCCGATTAATTTATGTTAATTTAACGCCAATTTCTTTTCCGATGGATGATTGATTATCGATCAAAAGTTAAAGAGGGAAAAAAGACAACGAGGGGCGATTCGATTCCGCATAATTCGATGCTTTGGAAGCGGAAGTGCATAACGTTCGATTTGTCGAGGTCCGAGAACGATTTTGCGTTAGTGTTCGTCGTGTGTTTGTAATTTAATGGTCGAGTAATAACTTACGTATGCGGAGCTTGAATCCGCAAAAAAAGGCGGTCCGAACCACATTCCGTGAGCAATTAAAATGAAAATGAGCAACGTTGGTACATTAGACGTGGTAATAGCGGCGATATGAAATTATATATATGTACTATTTTATCGCAGTAAATCTCGCGGCGTGCAAACAAAAGAAGCGGAATCGGAAGGGCTGCTTTCTCGATCGATACCCGCGGCAAATCGATCTTTCACGAAGAAGGAAGCGAACCAAATGCGCGTCGCGCCAACACCTTGGTCTACAGGCCATTCCAAATTTATCTGAGTTTTTCGCGCGAATTTCCCAATTTCGAATATTTCCGAAACAATTCTTTGGGTCACGGGTGATTGAAAATGACGGGAGCTTTCGGGAACTGAGTTAGGAAAAATTTCAATCAAATATAAGTACAGATGAAAAGGTAAACTTTTATTTAATTTTATATGGATTTCTACAAATCAGTAATTTTACGATTGAAATTATGGAGATATTAGATGCAATAAGATCGCAATGAATGATAATTTTTTCTGAATATTTTCACCGGAAAAAATTCAAATAGATCGAAGGATTCACACATGAGATGTATGACTCGTTGTCGCTTGAACACCCTGTATTCTATATGATGCAATACTGATCGAACATAAACCTCGTGATCCATTTGTTATCTGGTTGCGCTATAAATAAACGCTTAATATATTATATATGGAGATACATTGAAGCACCAATAGATATATATTTATATATATGTATAATTGGATTATTATTTATACTATTTATTTTTCAAATAACGTTCTATCATATAAATAGAAGAGGAGGAGAAGATAAAGATATTTAACTTATTATCCTTAATTTCCAATTTTAATCTTTAAATTAGGATTTTAATGTCCCAACTTCTCTATATCTATCATCGATAAATATTTCTTAATATACAATTTTATCATGTATATCTTACGATTCAGATGTATATCTTACGAACAGAGGTTGTATATTTTATTATTTATTTTGAAAGAAGAGAAAAATATCTAAAAAATAACAAAATTTGGCCCGGGTATTAATAACATATTTATATTGATACATCTATTTTTAAAATAAGGACTTTTCTTTCAAATGAAAATATACGCATATTTTCTTAAAACCGTAGCTTACCACGAAAAAGCGATTTAAATAAATATGTTACGAGTACTCCGAATAAATACATTTTTTAATTTTCTAAATATCTGTTTTTTCAACGCACAATTCCTGATTTGAATCTCAAATTTCAATCTTTAAATTAGGATTTCAATATTGTAGTCCGACTGCGTGTTGTTCGATAAAATAGCAGAATACTATATAATATTATATACATAAAATACAGACATAGCAGAATACTAAATTCTTCCGCGTCCAAGTACGGCGCACATCGTGATCCTCGAGCGACGTTTCCCACATCGTGCGGGAGTCCCTTCGCGCAGAGTCGAGGGCTGCGAAATGCAGTCGTCGCGTTACGTAAGCGAGCGTGTAACTGCTCGCTCGTTGTGCTCGATTATGTGGGAAGCCGGACGGCAGCGGTATTCGTGAAAACGGCACATGCATACACGGCGAGAAACGATTGAACGCGATCGCGATCATTGGAGCGTGACTTCGCTCTTGCGCGCGCGATCGTTTTATGTATCTAGGCGCGGACCGGCGTCTCTCTCGTGAATATACCCGAGATTACTGTATGTACATACGTTACGCCGCTTATACGTCCTACCAATAATTGGCCCGAGATACTGCATACAGCCGGTCCGGCCGGCCGCTTTCTCGAAAATGCGATTCTACCTACTCGATCCAGGATCTCCGCTCGCCCACACAATGGCCGACGCATTCGGCGATAGAAAACGAGAAATGTTCCTCGGATGACGGCGGGATTGATCGGTCGCCTGGGAATAATCGCTAAATCTCTGAGTCTTTACTGACGTAAAGTGTGGGATCTTACGTTGCGGACTTTTGTGCGCCTCGTACTGAAATAAAAAAATGCGCATTTATTTCCAACAGTATACAGGGTGAGGCAATAATTATTATCACCTTGAGTATCTTCGGAAAATAAAAATATTTTATTAACGACTAGATAAAAAAGATGAGTGCTTATATTTATGTAGTTCGAAGAAAGATATAATTTAAAGAAGAGAGTAAATTTACATTTATAGAAAATGTTGGAAATGATCATTGGTATCAATGACAAATTTCTGCTAGATAAACTTTTCTCCTACTCTCTTACTTCGAAGATATTCAGGATCATAATAATGTTTTGCTTCTTCCTATATACTTTGTACGCATTGAGGTAAATTTCCGGGAGAGAAATAACTGCATGAAACTCCGCTTACACCCTCCGCTTTATTGTACATTCCATTAACAATGAAAGCTAGTAAGGAAATAAAGAAGATTGGAAGGATGAATATTTCATTACGTGGGAATCTTTCTTCACGAACTTAGCGCTCAAACGCGCACGCATGTAAACCTTCTTCTCGTGTATCTGCGAGGAACCATAATTATATCCGACATTTGTCACATTTTTACTGAAAGACAGAAGAACATATTTCACCTCACGATATAATTTTCGCGATGGAAGACGTAAATAAACGACTAATGATCACCGGGAACCGTCACGTTCGCGTGCGGGTTTAATGAACAATAAATAAATAAATAACTGCAATAAATAATTTCGGGCTGTCTCGTCGTTCCTTATGTCTCGTTCTCGTCGTCTCTCTCGAGCGATTCCGTGGCCGATTCCGTGGGCCATTTTCCCGCGGTCGCGGCGGAATCCACGGTAGTGGTCGGTGGGTCCGTAATGAAGATGGGTCCGAGCGGCTCCGCAGTTACTTCTTTTTTCTTGCCAGTTTCCTCTTTGTCCTCGCTCGACGCTTCTTCGATGCTCGGCTTGTCCGCGAGGTCCTGCGTCTCCTGCGAAAGTCCCTGCGAGAGGTTGCTAGTGTCAGGATCGGGCATTGGCGGTACCAGCTCCGTCGACGGCACCGTCGTCTTTATTTGACACTGTCGGCCCATGTATCCCATCGGACAGATGCACCTAATGCGGAAAAATATCCGTATTTGTAGTAATTTCATCTCGAAAGTCGTAATATGCATTTAACTCCAAAATTTTTGTAAGTTTTAATTGGACTGGGTTATATGTTACTCGATCGAGTGCCATAATTAGTTTCTCACGAAAATGAAATTTTATTTTTTATATGACCATTATACTCTTTTCCGTAACAACATTGTATGAAATTAAAAAATTAAAATCTCTGAAAATTAAATTCAGAATAAGCTAAATTTTAGTCTGACTAAAAAAAGAATAGTCAACAAAAAGAATTTAATTTAATTTTTACAAAAAATTAATTATGGTTAGATAACGCATGACTTTGTTGTAAAATATTTTATGTGGAATATTTTTCCTCTTTGGTTGTCTGTTGTTAGTATATTCGATTTCATATTTTTTAAACATAATATCGTTAAATATTTTATAGATTACGTAGATAATACGCGATCGATAATCTTGTTACTTACGAAGTAGTTTATAAACCACTTTATGTCGATCGACCGTTTAAATAGCTCTATATACATCTCATTTTATATAACCATGCGGATACAATGGAGGGTCGTCGACTTCGTTCTATTCTTCCTGCTTTACTTTCCCCGGTAGGAATCTAAATTAATCCAGGAGCGATCGTAAATCATCGATAGACAAGAGATAGAGAGCCGTATCGCGCGCCACGTATTTTAGCTCGGTCGCTTATAACTTCAAAATATTTCGAATTATCCAAACGAATCTTATCTATCATCTAATTTCAAGCGGCTCCCACTTCGGCGATTTTCTTCGCGACCTTATTACCACATATTTAATATCAAAATGAATACATGAATTTAAATCCAAAAATTAAATATTGGGCTGTTCGTAAAAATTTTTATAAAAAACTCAAAGTCGATACCCTCATATAGTCAGGCAAAACTTTATTCATTTCGTTCTTCCGATAATTTTCTGCTATTGAAAAAAGAAGCGATCAATACATTATTGAATAAAATTATGTCCAGCTATGAAAAGTATCGACTTTGAAATCTTTATAAAAATACCTAGGAACTTATTGAACAACCCAAAGTTAGAAATCGTCAAGCGTGGAGTTTAACTGTTATATATATATATATATAAAAGAAAAATATAACTACATCACATTCGTTACATTTCACATATCGCGATTACTCTTCGCAGTATTTCGCTTCCGACTCATTAAGCGTCTGAGTCACGATTGAATCCAGGTCGGGCTCGCGATCTCTCACCTGTAATTACCGTCCTCTTGGGTCATGCTGATGCAGGTCGCGTTGTTCTGACAGACACCAGGGTGCTCGTCGCAGTAGGTCAGTTTCTCGTTGCACAGGTCGCCGGCCCAGCCGGGCTCGCAACGGCACTCCCACGGTCGTTTGCACGAGCCGTGCACGCATCCGGGGTACGGGACGCATTCAGTGCAGTTCGAACCGGTCCAGCCGATGCGGCATCTGCATGTGCTTGGTCGCCGGCAACCGCCGTGTTCCCGGCTGCATCCTTGCGCACAGATCGCTGTAATTCGCGGTGAGAAAGGTTCATTAAGCGGACGCGTCGATCTACGCTCTGCTCGGGAAATCAATTCGCGATTACTCGCGAGTGGGAATTAAATTGGTTACTCGGGGCGAACTCGCCGGTGATTGGCCACTATTTCCATTGCGTTATTCTTCGACTATCTATACAGGATGTCTCTCACGTCTATCGTATTATTTTAGCAGCGGATCGTTTGGATTTTATTGGTATATTTTAGTAGCAAATTCCCTCAACAATTTAGAGACGATCTTTTCTCGACGAAAATATCGCAATCGTCCAGTTTTTAACACAATTGTGCAATTTAGCTATCGTCCAATTTTTAAACGTTGAAAACAAATACACATTAATCAACGTGTATATTTGCAATTAAGTCTCAAATTAAAATGTCATTGAGACGGACTCTATCTGAAATTAGCTGAAGAGCGTAGCTTTGGTGTCTATTTGGCTCCCTACAGAAAAACCTTTTTTCCGAATCGCTTGTAATTTGCAAATTATTAGTACTTCGAAGTTTTCGCTTTGAAAAATTCTAAATTTATCAAAGAATCTGTTATTGAGAAACAACACGGCGGAGAAGTAGGATATCTTGTAAAATCAAAAGTTACCGGTATTATATTTTTCTTTGGTTAAAAATACATGGTTAAAAATACATATGATGATATTATCTCGTACAGCTGTGACGTTAAATATACATGAAACGATCACGTCTCTTCACTCTATCACCGAGTGTTGCTTTAGAATTGGAAAGCAAGATCTATTTCCGGCGATCGGTAGACACGCGCGACTTCGGACAACGTGTCTTCGAACTACGAGTCTCGTTGTATATTTTCCTTTTAATATTGTAAAAGTCGAGCGACGAGTGCTTGCGGACGCTCAAAGTAGGATTCCGTTTCAGTTCGCGAGTGGAAGAAAAATAAGACGACCGTCGCGCGCTGTGTTGTGTCGCGTCGCCGCATCGCAAGGATCGCGCTGTTGATCACGTCACGTTTCCGTTTATTTTAGAGAGGGTTGGTCTCGTTCGGTCGTTCAGTTTGAAGAGGTTTCGGTTCCTGTTTGCTTGTCAGAGAGAAGGGAGGGGGCAGGGGCAATACTCACGTGTTTGACAAAGCAGCCCGGTCCACCCCGGATCACATCGGCACTCCAAAGGTCCTTGACAGATCCCGTGCGCGCATCCCGGCAACACAGCGCACTGTTTGCACTTGGGGCCTTGCCACCCCAGGCGACATCTGAAAGAAAGAACACGTTAGGCTCTGATTTTCCAACAAATCTATGCCCGGAGACGTCGGGCAGTGATTTATACGTTTTATTCAAACTGTCTTGAGGAAGTTTGAAATGAGGATTGTCAGGAAATATTAGCATGAAAATATGATGTTGAACGTAAAAACGATATTCGTACACTGAGAGCAAAAATAGAGATAATATATATTTATCCGGTGGGTAAACTAATAACATATTTAGTAGGATAAAGTTTCTTAATTATTACTTTTATATCTTGTCCTCCATCCTCTATTTGCTTTTTATTGTTGCATGTTGTGCTTCATGATATCGTCGAAATAATTGTTGTAAGGACTCATCAATTTTTCTTACAAATCGTTTTAGTATTTAAACAATATGTTTAATTTTTTAGATATTTTTTCTTTCAGTGTAATTCCCTCTCGGTATAAATACATCTGTTGATACACGATTTGACGTTAATGTGAAATTGCTCGTCTTTTTTTTATTCTGTTTTAAATAAAGTTTTAACAAAGAGAACAAAATAAAGTAAAATAAAATAAAATAAAATAAAATAAAATAAAGTGATTTTTCGAACGATGGATTCTGAATAATTTCTTTTTGAAGATAAAGTATGATGGAGATCGTAGTATATTGTGTTAACGTGGACCATTTTGATTTTACAATTTATCTCCACAATGAAACATTTTGTTAAAAAACCGTTTTTATGTTAAGAACGGTTCACTGAACTTTTGTGTTACTTTAATAATCTTGTGTTACGTTAACAATTGATGAGAAGTTAAGTGGACCGTTTCCGATACAAAATTTTGTATTGTGTAAAGAATTATTTTGAAACGCGCAATAGGAAATTTCGCGTTTGATTTTGTTGATAAATATTGCGAACCTTTCGTGTTAACTTAATTCATAAAAATGCGCGGTGAAGAGCCAAGTAAATGATTACCTGCACTCGCCCGGTCTTTCGCAGTAACCCTGACTGGATAGGCAATCGGGCGCGCAGATCGGCTCGGAGCAGAACATACCTTTCCAGCCGGGGTCGCAGGAGCACTCGAAGCTTACGTTGCACCTGAAAGCGAGAATCACGTTCGATATCAAGTGTGTCGATCGAACTGTCAAACTACTCGGTCACTCTACCGATTGGTGGTCACGAAATCGTGCGTGGAAGCATTTCGTGTTATACGGAAATTAGGCTCGCTTGCCAGCTAGTTCGCCCGAGGTGAAAGCAAAGCCGACTCGATCAACCCGCGAGCTCTCGTTGTTCGCCGTTGAATTGATTTTACGAGTGTACATGGAAGGCGCGATAAATTGCGTCGTTGCGGCCGCGCGTGGGTGCTCTAATCGTTATCGGGTTATCAAGCGTGTGAGAGATTGATGAAGGATCAGCTGTGGCGCTTGACTTTCCTGAATTTCGTAGCAAACGCGAATAAAACGGAAAAACAAGGAGACATCGGATGTGGAACGTTAAAATATATTCTTTGCGTAAAAATTGGTAGAGTCACACAGTATAGAATTTGGATAGCGATACGAGATAATAAAAGAGAAATTAAATTTTTGAAAATTAATTTTGACGATAATAATTGATGAAAAATTATTAAACGGAAAGAGAGGCATTGGATATTAAAATATATTCTTTGAGGAAAGAGTTGTTAACGTCATGCAGTTCGAAGAAACTTTTTTTTTTAAATTGTTGGTATCGACTATGATAATTAATGAGACATTACTAAACGAAAAGAGTAGCATCTGATGTGGAATGTTAAAATATGATAATTATTCGTTATTTTGATGCTTCCCGAATTAAAACAGACGGAACTTCGATGGTTTTCACCTTGACATGAAAGATCCTACTAAATAACCTTCAGAAGATTTTAGTCGGCAGTCTTTGTTCATTAAAAAGTTATTAATAATTGATGATTGAAACAGCCCGAATTTCAGTAGATGTAAACATGATAATATTTAAAAATATATATTTATAATATTTATAAATGTATTTTAGTTAAAATCATTTGCTTTGTTAAACTGATGAATCTTTTTCATACTAAAATAATAGATTCTGAGAAGATTAGCAAAGATTTCTATGCAAAGTTTATGTTAAGTGATTTATCAGTGAAATATTTTCATATATGTTTTGTCGCATACCAAAACTCAAACGTCATCTTAGCTCGAGGAACTGAGATAATGAAAATTTCTTAATAAATAAAAGACGATATTTTCTACAATATATGTCAAAAATCAAAGTTATTGCAGCTGTGTCCATTATAACGAGTAATTACCAAAATATGTTCTTTGAAATATATCAACAATGTTGCACATTATAGAATTTAGAAAACGATATGAGAAAAAATAAGAAATGAGATTTCTCAAAGTCGTTATCGACGATGATAATTAACGAGGCATTATTCTCGTTAGAACACGTCGATTTGTAGCTGTAATAAATTTTGTGAACTCTAATAGCGTTATTTTTCAATTTAATAATATATACAATATTCACAAAACGCGCGCAGTAAAAAAGTTATAGAAATGTTGCTTTAGTTTCTTCCTCTCGCGAGATGCATCCGCGTTTAAAGATGTTCCAACGAAGAATTCATATGCATGTCAAGTTATACTTTCTCCACACCAAGTTATTGCATATCAATAGATCATACCTTCCGTGCTGGCATCCCGGTAAGGCCACACACTTGTCGCACAATTCACCGTAGAAACCCAGTTTGCATCGACATTCCCCGGGACGTCGGCAGTAGCCCTGAAGAGGATCGCAACCCTTTCGACAAATCGGCACGTCGCAAAGATCTCCCGTCCATCCTAAACACGAATAATTACTACATCATTGCGCCAAAAATATATATATTTCAAATTTTCTCTAATCTGCTGCTTAATCCTTTTAGGATATTCACACGATATCCTGTTAACATTTTATTATTTTTCAATTGGCTAATAAATCAATTGAATTTCGTTTTTCTAACGCAAATCCTGTTTCTTCTTTTTCTTTTGACTAATAAATTAATATTTGCACAACAAAACAAAAGGTAAAACAAAATTTACACGCGAAATTGTTTTGTTTTTCCTTCGTGGGAAGTAAAAAAATTCGCGTTTGAAAGTGGATTTTATTGTTTTCTTGTAATTACGCGTTCTGGTGAAAGATTTGTATTATTCCCGGTTCATACCTGGCAAACATTTCACTTCCCCAGCCTCGTCGCAGATGTAATGCGAATTCGGATGCTGGGACGCTGGTATCTCGCACGCTTGCTTCTTCCATTTCGGAACGTACCTGAACAACGAATCTTATTGAAATGCCGACGTTCGAAATTTATAAGTCGGCAACATCGGCGACGATAATATCGTACGAAGCCATTCAAGTGTTATCCCATCGCAATCGATTGATTTTTCTCATGAGACATCTTAATCGCGAGGGATTCCTCTCTCTCTCTCTCTCTCTCATAATCGAAGCGTTCGATAACCTACGTCGATTTACGACCGTACCTGGGTCCGGCTGCGAATCCTACGGCCACCACGGAAACCGCCCCGACGCCGATCAGTCCATTGTTTGCCGACGGTGTAAGCTGATAAGGAGCGACGAGGAAGCCGAGGCAGCAGGCGAACAGCAGCGGTATCATCTTCGCTTGACTCCTGAGTCAAGACTGGAGAACGAAGACGTTCAAGGCGAAGCCTAGGATAACGGGACCTTGTTCGAGGCCACGACATACTTTTCACCGTTCGTGTATACGTGCATGCGTGCGTGCGTGCGTTCGTCGTGCGCCTGGTACAGCTCCCCGCCGACTTTTTCGTCGACTCACTGTGGTGAGCTCGTCATTTGCGCAGCAGGGTTCAACGCACTTCAGGGTCTCTCTTGCGGCGACAAGATGGTGGCGAAAAAGAAGAAGCGTTAAGAAGAGAAAGAGAGAGAGAGAGAAAGAGAGAGTGTGCTTATAGGGAGTAGAAAAGAGTATATTTTACGTCCTCCCGGCGCCGATGTCCTCTTTTTCTGCTCGTTAAAATTCTATGCTATTGAATTTTCATCCGAACTCCGTATAATAAAATAAATCCATAAAATACATATGAATATATATATACAAATTTATAAATATACAAATGAATGAAAGGATATTTAAATACATAGAAATAAATAAATAAGAATATATAAATATATGAAAGTTTATGAAAATCGTAACACAGTAATACTGGATGTTACATCCTTACGTAGAATAAAATTGAAAAGGGAATAATGAAGAATGGAAGATTAAGAGGAAACGAAGTGAGACAATATTTTCGCTTTCGGCCTTCGACCTACATTTATTTGGCTAAGTATTTACAGGCTACATTGCGACTATGTACAAATAAATACAGTGCGCGGCGCGCGCGCTCGCTTGTTGCCGATTCTTCGGTGATAGGAACTTTTGTACAGTCTGTTCGTTGCACATTGAGCAAAAATGCTGGTTCTAGTCCGTTCTCCGTGTTTTTGTTCACGTAAAAAAATATCATCCGAGAACCTGTACAACTTCGGCTAAAAAGCTATCGCCATTCGTATACCTGTTCAGACCCGAGCCACGGGCGGGCGAAAGGGGATAATACTTTTCCTTTGAATACAAAGACCACGAAACAGTACATTGCATACAACGCCTCGAAGCACGTGCCACGAACATTGTTACCGTAACTATTATCGCGCGAATATGCAGCTATTGTGTCAGCTCTCTCGTTGATATTTTCACTGTTCTCCGTCCCATCCCTTTTAAGCTTAACGCCGGCTACTAGCCTACACGTGTTGTTAGGCTTTCGTCCAAATCCGCGACCTGGATTATCTTCGACGTTCCTGACGAGCGGTTGATCCTGGTCTTTTGTTATAAAAATAGCATCAAACAATCTAGTAACATTAAGGTCGAGATCGTTGAAATCGGACATGTCGTTATCAGCCTTGAGACAGCAAAGATGTAACGTCTTCCCTTTGCAGTAGAGCGCAGAAAATCGCATCGTCAAGTCACAAACGTCTGAAGATCACGTGATTCGTCTCCGACCTTCAAATCACAATTAGAACCGCATTAATGACTTTTCAATTGCTTCGGTCGCGTATCTTTTTTCGAGAGAATATCTCGTTTTCGATTCTCTCTACTAGTCCTTCGTGGTATTCTGCGATCGTCGCTTGCAGAGTCTTTCCGAAGAGTTCGAGAAACCGCAGAATTCGTTCTGAGATTTAACGGTGCATCCGTAGATCGTTCGAGCCGGTCTCGATAGACGAAGAACTTCCGTCTCTTTCATTCGTCACAGAACGCGACTGTCCACTTTATTCGTCCTTTTGCCGGAGGCGAGCGGCAAAGTAGATCCCTGAGTAATCGGTCCTCGCCGTAAGTGACGGCCTTGAGGAGTGTAGTCCTTCTATTCTACACCGAGAAAAAATGCTTGGCATTTTCAACTATAATCTCGCGTAGTAAACAAATTATAGTCAGGAGAATCAAACTTTTCGTTTTTACCAAGCGTTACCGACACATATTAGCGACAATAATTTTATACTCATTATTATCCCGATTTTGTTGCTCAAGCAACTGGAAGATACAGTTGGCGCCAGAAGTGACTATAATTTAACGACGTCAAGCACTTTTTTCTCTCAGTGTAGCGCAGGATGAGAGTCGCTCACGCTTTCTGCCACGTTTGCGCGGTCTTCTTCATGAGAAACACGTCCGCTCGGATATAACAGAACACCAGAAGCGTTATCACGAAAAGCAGCAGAACGTAATGCCAGCCGCTCCGGACGAACAGTTTCATGCTGCAGACGAAGTTGCAGACGGCGGAAGACGGAGGCGGCGGCGACGACGAAGGCGTAGTCGAAGAGAGATTGGTGATGGGCCGAGTGTCGACGACGATGGGGAAGCTGCCGGGGCCGTCATTGGACGCGACCCTGACGTGGTACCTGACGCCGGGTAGCAGCGAGATCTGCGCAGAGTCGCTGTCGGTCACCTGGTTGCCGGTGAGGCCGCCGGTCTCTGGACCCCAAGTGACCACGAGTGACTTGTTGCCGCCGCCGTAGCTGTCGTCGTGGTAGCGGTAGCACTTCCTCGGGTATTTGTCGAAGTCGTCGGTCTTCCAGAACAGCCACTGGAGCCGCTGCAGCACGTCGTCGCGGTGGATCAGCGCCAGCACTTTCTCGCTGGACAGCTGCAGGTGGCGCATATGGTCGTTCGAGATGTTCATCTCCTCGAGCCTCCGTTGGATCTGCAGCTGTTGGCGCACGTTCCGCCACGAGACGGTCGCCTCGAACAGCGGACCCTCCTTGAGCGAGTCCAAGCTCGGTACCCACCGTTGCCAGGTGTAGTGTCGCGGACCGTCTTCCGTAACAACGATTATCCAGTGGCACCGGTACATCCTCTCGATCGGGATCTGGTCGTAGTAGAAGTTTTGGAACTGCCAGCGCTCATGCTGCTTCCGGAATATGATAGCCACGTCGTGCGGGCCCATCACGATCGGTTTCTCCTCCGGCGCCGGCAGCATCGACGGTTCGTAATTCTCCATGAATTCCCGCGTCTTGCAGTATTCGCAAGCGATCTGTCGGCCCATTAATGTGCTCTGCGAAGAAACGAAAAGCATCATTAAGATCTTGCGAGCGAGGAAGATGTAACGGATACACTTATCGTAGAGGATACGAGAGAAAAGGTCAAAATCGCGATAATGTTAGACCATCTCTCTAGGGTTCAAGTTTATTTGAACGCTGTGGCGCGCAGTAAAGCAGCGAGACTTCAATAGTAAGCGAATTGGTCTTTATCTTTTGATCTTTCCTTCAGAAATCTTTTATTGACTTTGGATATTTTCTGATAGTTCGGTTCCGGAGTCGGGCCGTATCTGTGTAAATCCCCAATACCCCGTAATATGATAACTGTGAACCCCTTTTTTCCTTTGAAGGAAAATAAACTCTTCTCCTCAGAACCTTGGATGTACCCCGATAGTTCGGACGTCGGGCTTAGACTGGTAGATTTCTCGAATATGATCTATATAAACGAATCTTCCATATTTTCAATTATCTATCGAGACGTAGTTCGTGAGCTAACTTGTTTTTTTAGTTAATTCTCTGTCACCGCTCGTACGAGTAACATCACTCGTACATCAATGTCCGGAATAAAGCACGCTAATCACGCTAAACACCCGACCACATATTTCACTCATAGCAATTCACGCGTGCAAATACTCATTGAAACTTACGTTTGTAACAAATCGAGAATATTCGTTCGTATATCGCTCAGATCTATCTCATATTGACTTCATCACAAAGTTGAGTAATTTTGCGTGTTATACATTGCGAACATGCGATTTATTTATACCTTCGATTAGTAGCTTTAAACAATCTGTTATTCCAACGTTGTCCTGCTAACCAAATAATAAACAAGGTCTTAAATTCATAATAAATAACTAAAACATAAAATTACGAATTTATAATTTATAATTATTATATATATTTATATTTATAATTTATAATTCGTAATTTTATTCGTTTATATTTGTAATCACCGCCTTGATTTAATTTTTACTTCTTTATTTTGTTATATCCTCCTTTTCGTGATGGGGTTTTACCGTAAAATGAATAATAATAATAATATTAATATTAGAGTTTTATATTCTCGATAATTGTTGAACATATTTGTCGATTTGCTCGTTGCTTGAATTTTACTGTTCACTTTTTTGCGCTGACAACTTCTCTTGTTTCGATGAGGATCTGACTCGATTTCGCGTGAGGATTTTTCTCGTGAAGTTCGCGCGAGGCTTCAGATGTTTGACGGTTTCACATTTCAAATCCTTTTTGAACGTCAGGTACAATCCAGGTCGATATCCTATGTCCGTCGTTAGCTCGAAGTGAATTAAAAGTGCTAGTCGATCAAGCGCATGGACGATCTTTCTTTCTCCCCCTGTCTCTCCCTCTTTCGCGTCTGTTACGGGGATAATTCCGGATTGTACGGCATCGAACGAAGAAAGGAGAGAATGGTTTCGCGTAGAATGAAGGAACCTCAAGCCGGAATCCTTGGAAAAGGGACTACCTGTCGATCTTCTCGGAAGACCGAGCAGTCGGCTCGCGTGGAAAACGCGCGCTGGCTCCGTCGCGCTCGCTCGACACAAAGATAGGAATCATCCTTCAAATATTTGGGAACGTACCGACTACCGTCGCGCTTGAAAACGTATGAAAGCCACTTATCCAGCATAATGTCGTTTTTCAATCGGTCTCGATCTTTACACGGAAGTCGAGCGATCTCCGTCTACGGTTACGACACAGTCTCGTTTTCAGTTTTCGCGTCCCGAGTTGAACGTCAGAAGCCACAGTAAAGATCTATCCAGGCATACTTGTATAATCGTGTAATGCATGTGCACGAAATCAACCAATCGTAATCCGGCAAAAGGGTGTCCTTTGCACAGAATCGTGAAATAACGCATTATTTGTAACGTAGATACCGTTACAAGTTACTTTTTTACGACGTTAACGTTTTTTTTTTTTTTTTTAATAACGGTAACGCAATTTTTTTCAGTAATTGTAAATACAAACTGAGAGAAAAATATCTAAATAATAAAAAGTATTTATTTGGCAGGGACTAATAACATTTTTACTTATATGTCAATATACCTATTTCTGCAAAAATGAAAAAAATTGTTTTCAAATGAGAAAATGTATATTTTCTTAAATTTATAGAGATAAGCATGAAAGCAATTGTTTATTCTATCTAAAAATTAAAAAATTAAAATTTAAGTAATTTAAATAATATCTGAATAGCTCTTCAGGATAGGTAGTTGTTAATACAACTCTAATGAGCGTGTCCCGAAGCCTCGCGAAGAAGACCTGTTTCCCAATTAGTTTATTCCCAAAATTGCAATTAAAATCTAAAGTGGACACAAGGAAAAAGTATTTGCGTATTCTTGGAATTGTTTCATGTAAGGTAGAAAAAACATTGCGTTGCGAAAATCCCTTTTTAGGGTGCCGAAACAAATAACCAAACGATATAAGCATTCGAAAAAGCGATCCCCCGATTCGTTTCGAGTAGCACGAGCGGTGACGAGGGCTCTATCTTTTTCCCCCGCGAGCTTACACTTACATCCTTGAGGAAGCGCCTCGCTTGTTGAAACGGGTCCTGACTGTCCTGGTTGCACACCTTCGAGTCTTGCTCGTCGTGGCACAGTTCGCAATACCTGGTGCACTGCAACAGCGTAAGAAAAAAGACGAGTCAGGTGAGGGAAGATTTAGCGGTTAACAAAAAGCTCTTTCGCACGCACGGCAAGAAAGAGGGAACTACTAGCAAGAAAGGACGCGGGAGGAGGGTTGGCGGTGGTTAGGAGGATGGAAGGGTGTTTGATGCGGAGAAGCGAAGGGTAGGGGAGGGAAGAATAAGCGAAGCACATCGGGCGAACCGTTGAATCGAGCGATTTAACCGATCACGAAGAAAAGAGGCGAAGGAGGAAGAAGAGGACGAAACACCGTGAAGAAGGTGGAACCGTCGGTAGAGGGAGGACGGGGGGGAAGGGGGAGGAGGAGGGGGGACTGAATTAGCTCCAACCTGTTCCAGGCATAACAGGCACCGTCGTTGTTGTCTTCATATTTATTGGGGTACCCTCGACTCGGTGGGGCCCTGTTCCTAAATTCTTTTTCCCCCCTTTTTTCTCGCGGTCTCTCTCCCCCTAACCCCGTCTCCTTCTGTGTTTGTCTCTCTCTTTTTATCTGCCCGTCCTCCGTTCCGCTGACGGTCTCACTCTCTCTTTCTCTCTTTTTCTCTATCTATCTCTCTCCCCCTTCCCTCTTTTGATCCCTGATTACCCTTCTTTGCGGTGTACCCTCTCTAAGGACTCTCTTTTCGTAGAAACGACGCGGTCTTCCGCTAATGACACTTTCAGAGACGTCCCGGCGGCCGGGTTCTTTCTCTCGGCGTCGAAAGAGAGTTGATCTCAAGGGATATATTGTTTCATTTGTTTGCGAAAGATTCGTTTATCCTCAAGAGGATTTTCTCCATTCTTGTGTTTTACTGACTTGCGGAAATCCCATTGTAATCCCTAAATACATGGCAATGACGCATAATACGCGATGACGGACGCATTGTTGTGTCCTAGCGACTTGTCGTCGCGGACGTAACGCATCGTTCTGTGCTTTGTGATACTTTAAATTATTCAACGTTTAAATATATATATCGGTTTGTCATTTATGTGTATTCGTTGCACCGAGAGCGGCGTTGATTATTAACTAAATTATCGATGTCGTTAATTGTTATTAGATTACCAGTCAATAGGTTATTATATTTTATTATTATTCAGTAGGATAATATGTAAATTTATTATTATTCAGTAGGATAATATGTAAATTTCTTGATTATCTTTTGCTTAAAAATATAGAACCCGCCTCTCGATGACGTTTTGCTCCGCAACAGGTAAATTTCCGGCAGCGATGAGTCTTTTGGATGCACGAGATCGGTTCGAGATTCCGTATCAGTCGATGATCGTCCTTGTTATCGAGTTACGATCACTCGGGGTCGTAAAGCAAACGCGCCACCCCGTCCTCTGGAAATCAATGACTGTACCGTGACTCGTCTACTGGCAGACGGACGGTGTGGTCGCGTATCGTAAAGTGAAATAAATGGACGAAAAAAGAACCGGGTGTCTTTCGAGGAAGCGTTTATTTATAGTGCGAGACTCGAGGAACCGGGAAAATTCGGGGAAGAAAATCATCTGCGCGATGCGTAATCTCTCCCTGCTGTCCGTCGCGATATTCATCGGTGATCCAGGAAGTTCGTTCGATTTTTGCGGAAAAATAAGAAAAGCCCTTCGCGTGTAATGACTCTCCGTCGTGCGTTCTCTCGAGTCATGACACACGTTCTCATCCCGATCCGACGAACCGGTGGTGCGGAAACTACTCCCTCTCTTGGGATTGAAACAATTACACGAGGCCGCAAAAGGGTCCTGTAATGTCCTCGGATGAAATCATCGTTATCGTCGTACAGATCGTTTCTTTCTCCGTGGAGAAGAACGAGCAAAAGAAGAAGAAGAAGAAGAAGAGAGAGATGAGAAAAAATGGAGGAGGAAGGGGGACGATAACGCGCAGCGTTAAGTTCGTTAAGCCGTACCCGCCCCCTTGAAGAGTCGTTATTCTAATGCGCGGAACCAGAGGGGGCCCCCCTTGCGTGGGGCAACATTCGTCACACGAGGCCCGGGCGTAAATTCGAACGGCTCGTCGCGTCTGGGTGGGCCCTCTCGCTCCTCGGCCGCGTCTCGCCGCACGGGAATCGATCTCCCCGAAATTAATGGACACCCCCGTCCGAGCGAGCGGTACCGAGCGAACAACGCCCTCGCGACGCGCATTGTACCCCGACTTAATCGCGATTCCCATCTGTTCGCGCGACGCGTCTCTCCCCCGCACAGCCTCTTTCTCTCTCCATTTCGGAGAATCGACAGGGTTGCACCGCGACATTATTTTCTATTGCCGTCCCATAATAAAAGCGACATCCAGAGATTTATCGGCGCGTCGGGACTTCCCGATTTCCGGCCGATCGGCCGCGAGGCGCGTGCCTCGTCGTGATGAAAAAACGATTTTCAATCGCCGGTTCGTTTCGATTTCATTCGTTGACAAGGACACATGATATGGATAAATAGATCGAGGGAAGAAATAAGCAGATGCAGAGTAAGATAAAAATGCGAAAAATGCCGGATATCGATGATTAATTTTACTAATTTTTGATAAAAAATCAAATCTTAGGTAATAGTGCACAAACGTTTTTTTGGATATTTTACGTGTCGAATATATTTTTGTAGGAACATTCTCACAAATGTTTATTGCTTTCGACAAGGTCATATCATAGTAAAAAAGGCAAAAAAAGAAATTAAAGAATTAAACAAACGAGAAAATAAAATAAGAAAGGTGAAATTTAAAAAATAGCAGTAAAAAATATCTAGATAAATCCAAAAATTATATATATATATATATATTTAATAAACCGACCTTTTTCTTTCGTTATTTTATTAACCGTCAGAAATATGAGTAGCGTGATGTATATTATTGCTTTGGTTTTTTAAAAATAATCTGAACCAAGATTGAAACACACACACATACATATTCCGCGTTATAAAATAAATCTCGACTTCATCTCGACAAATATCAGCTCGTTAGCCGCAAATCGTCGCTGTAGATCGCGGGAACAGAATCTCGCTCTGGCAATTCTCACCGCTGTCGGCGACAAGTCCGCGAATAAACAATTACAAATTCAATCACGCACTTCGCTTAGATCGAGACGATGATCTTAACTACCTCTTGGAACTCTTGATGCGCGTTCCTCCGTATCGACATTTTGCGGAACTCTTCCTTCTTGTTGAACTGTCGCAAGCACTCAGATTGGCACTGCGCGGTCCATATCATCGGTCCGAGGTCGAAGCCGACCACCAGCGAGCAGCTTGCGGCGCATATCGTCGCGAAGATCAACCACGCGGTGGTCATTATGACGGATGAATCCCCTCGGACGTCCTCTCTCTCGTCCTCGATCCCCTTCTCTCGCGTATGTCACCACGAAGAGAACGAAAAGAAGAGTGAAGAAATAAGAACAATGCAACTTGCGGTTGAAACTTCGTCACTACGTCAACAGAGATCTCACTCGGTTCGCATTCGATCGCGTCGACAGTGAACTACGAGCGTGGACGCGCCACAGGCGAACATGGGCACGCCGGCTCCGAAATTTCGAGGCAACTGCGACCCTTCGGGGGTCGAGACCTTCCTTATGTAGCCGCGCGTCCCCCACCGCCGTCGGATTTTCGTGCGTGTCCCCCACCCTCGACCGTGGCCGGGACGCCGGGTAGAACATCCCTTGTAATTATCCGCGATCCCCGAAGCACGATCCGTCCTCGGCCTCGGCATATGGTCCCTCCGCATATCGTGTGTGCCCCCAAGTTCCAATCCTGACCGAATTATTGCTCGATCTTTCTCTTTTTCTCACCCTCTCTCTCTCTCTCTCTCTCTCTCTCTCTCTCTCTCTCTCTCTCTCTTCCGCTCCCTACGCGAAAGTAGGCCAATCGGTCGTAGGAATCGCGAAAGGACGCCGGCGCATCTCGCAGATAGGATCGAAGTAGAAAAGAGGTCTAAGGCGGAATGGAAAAGAAAGGATAGAAGGTAAAGGAAAGATTTCTCGGGGTTGGTGATCAATAAATTACTCGTCGCTAATGAGACAAATTAATTCTGCATCAATTCTATAGCGAATTAAATCTGCTAAGTTGGCAGAAATGATTAAATTATATAGGAACGTTACTTGATTCTAATTGGAAGATTCGGTGCAAAAATCAGTTCTGTTAAAGTTTTAAAATATTATTTTTTATCCAAATTGTCTTTACCATTTTTTCACGAAAAATATATTAACAGGACGTTTTTACATATTTAAATTTCCGTAAACAAGATTTTCGTAAAAAGAATTTGCTTAACTTACTTTGCAAACCAGTTTTTTTGTTGATACTGTACAATTAAAAAAAAATCAAGCAGATTGATTTTTGCGCTGAGCTATTCAATTGCTGATAATAAAATTGTTAAATGTTGCTAACGTTATCTATCATTATCTATCGATTAAGTGATGTCCTTCCTTCCCTTTGATTCTCGATAAATGTTGAGATTGATAGAGAGTTTTTCGGAGTGAGAGAGAGTAAATAAATTAATTAATCATTCACGATAATGAATCAAATTAATTCCATTAAGTTAGGAATGGTTAAATATATTACGTGATTCTCTTTAATTGCTAATAATGAAATAATTGAAGTTTACAAACTACGTTATTAGGCGGTTGCATTTTTTTCTTCCTTCTCCTCGGTTCTCGGTAAACATTGGAATTGCGCACGACGGTGAATGATAATGTCCTGGCGGATAATGTCCAGTCTGTTTCAGCCGTATGGTCACAGAGCGGCGCGATTTCATGAGCGGCGAGGGACGAAATTTAATTTGTCCCGCGAGCAGTCAATTTCGATCCGTGCTCGGCTGGCCAAATGGCCGGCTCCTTTTATCCTTTTCTTTTTACGACGCTGAGAAGCGGTTTGTCGGAAGTAAGATGGCGTTCTGGGCCATATGCCGTGGACCATACGGACCGTGGATAATTACGGTGGGCCAGTGAGCACGGTTATAATATGAGGGTGGCCGAGAGAGCGTAGGGGAAACAATATTCGCAAGAAACATATAGCCGGACATGCGCGAATGCAGCGCACAAGTCATCGTATTGTCTCGGTTTAATTCTCACGATCGTGTTTCCCTCAACAAAGCTTCGTCAAGCGGCTTGTTCTCTTATCACAAGAGATTATCTTTTATCAAGATCTCTTAGTGAAAGGTTGTCAGTCACGAGAAAAATAGCAGAGTCGGTCACGGAAACAACAGACGAAGGTTACGACAAAGCAAATTTTCCGACCGTGTTTCTCCGTTCAACTCCTCAAAGCAACCGCGCTGTAATCTCGAGCCTCCTCAGAACACCGAGAAATATTTTCCACTCCGCTTTATACTTCGTCCTATTTCCTCGTCTACCTCCACGTCTACCTCCTTGGAGGACGTAAGAAAGAAAATCGACGGAGGAATCGGATCTACGAGCGGAAAAGACGCGCGGCGCGAGCCAGACGGCCCGCCCGTCCAGCGAGAAAATGAAGTTTCTGGTATCACTTCGAAGAGGATCGCATAGCTCGCTTCATCCGGCAGGTACATCCGAGCACGCTCCACCCACGGACGCAATCGTGGGGCGAGAATAAAGCGGGGACGCGGACAGAGGGTGGGACGGGGTGCACGTGGTGCTGCGGGTTCCGCGGGTTCGCCGGAAGCCGGCCTCGCCTGGGTGCCCCGAGCTACGTCACAATGGACAGGATGTGTACAAATAAGGGTATTTGTCTCGCTCTCAGTCTCTTTCTCCCGGCTGAGATCGCGGGCTGAAAAATATACGTGACGTTGGAACGGGCGGGGCGGGCTGTGCCATCCCTCGCGAGCGCAAACGCGCTCGCTTGCTCTCTCGCGTCCGTTTGTACCCGGTGGCAATAGAAATAGGGCCCGAGAATAGCGGCCTATTCATCTAGGCAGCGTTTAGGGGTGGCGCTCACGCATCCCGCAAAGGATCCGTTCTTCTTCCTCTCAATAGCGAGTGACGTTTTATTGTGCCACGACGCTTTCCTCACACCTGGACCGCGCGGAGCCGGCTTGTCGGCTCGCCGGCTCCGCTCGGACGCGCGGATGGAAATATTATTTCGCCGCCTAATCCATAACGGTCCGACTTATCGCATGCTCTGCCACCGGCGACACATTAGAGTTTCGAAAAATTCCCCGGGAGATTAATAACTTAAAGAGGATTATGAGTCTCCTCGCACACAATATCGCGGGCCCTTGATTTTCCTCCTCGTTTCGGAGATTGTGATGTAATTGGAGACGTCCGACGGCCACTGTCATAACGATGATAAATGAATCGTTAATCGTATGATGCTTTATGGGCGTATGTGTGGGATTTCTCTTCGCATTCTTTACATCTACTTGTGACATTATCGAAAATGTGTAATGACGCTTTTTGTTTTAATGACCGATTCTACGGCCATTTTGTGATAGAATTTTCTTTAACGAAAATTCGAGGCGCCGCAGACACAATAATTCTCAAATTCGAATAATTTCGAATTTAAATAATATTGATTTTTTCGGGTCACGAGCGATTGAGAAAAAAGTTTTTCGTTAGATTACGTTGAACACCAGGATTACGTTCTTCAGCTTCTTTCAGGCGGAAAGTGGTTTAACGAAATTTTAATTGAAACTCAGTTGCAAAGATAAACGATGTTAAAGATCAGACAATTGCAAATAAATAATTATCATTCTCACAATAAAAAATTTGGTGTTAAATTTAACACATTTCATAAGTTCCGAATGGTCCACACAAATTTTTGTGTTAATATGAGATGAATATATTGAAAAATAATACAAATATTACATTCAAGATTAACACAAAATTAAAGTTAAAAATTCACAATATAATTAATCAACACTAAAGTATAAAATATGTTATTTCAACATTTACAAATGATTGAATATCAACTGAACGCAAAATATTGAGATAACATAAATACATAATATGTTAAATTAACACACGAATATATCAAAAATTTAACGCGAAAAAATTTTAACAAGGACCGATCTTAATACAAGTACAAAATGATTTTTGCCGTGCTCGGCATTTTCTCTGGCAAAAAAGGTCGCTCTCGAATTGCCGAAAAAGTCTGTTATCGCCAAATAATAAGGGCGGGGCGCTCTGTATATCGCAAGACACAGTATATTTCCAACTTTACTATCGCTTGGGGTCGCTTACGTCAAGCTTAAATAACTCCACATTGCGACTTTCGCGGCGTATCGAGACTTTAGTGCGTGACTCGTATTCATTCCGCAGCGGGGGAGCGGTTGTTACTTACCGAGATGCATTATGCATAAGGACGTTATTAAAAGACGCGTTGAACGGGGACGCGTTCCCACAAGCGGGATCGCGTCCATCCTCGGCCGTGCACAAATATTTATTATCCTGTTTGCGGAGCAACACTCGCGGGAGGTTTCGTGCGCGCGCGCGCGCGCGCGATCAACTTATCCGGCACGCGTCGCGCGTGATTTCAGAAGGTATCACGTTTGCACGACGTTCGTGCTCCGTGAGAAGTAACGCGGCGGGGAAATTCCCGAGGGAAATCGACCGCGAGCATCGCCGGTTTTCTCGTTAAAAGGGATGCTCCAGTCGCTAGCGCGTTGTTGGGACTTCGACGGAGCACCAGCGAGATTAGAAAAGTAATAAAGTATGTCGAATGGAAAAAAAAGGCACGTGAGGAATACACAAAATTGCATCGAGTCAAATGTCTATTTCGCAGAGGCCTGCTGCCCCTGCCACATTCTCTTTTGTTCTCGATCAAGGGAATATCAAAATTGATGTCGAACTTGATGCGCGTCGATAACGTAGAGACAATTCTCGTTATTGTATTAAATATGTTATTGGTGCATAAAGACGTTTAACCAGGAAGCAAAAGAGGAAATACAGCGCGTATTAGATTGCCAAATCTTTATAGTTTAGTTGTAATATGTTTCAATTGTTATTAGAAATTATGTGTATTTAACATATTAATTCCTGAAAAAAAACTAAGTGTGGTCAATGGTCTTGTAATTTGTTTAGTAAACAGTTCTCTAACAAGTCCCTTTCATCATCCACCCATTTTTTCATTAAAACTGTAAAAGTAATTTAATTGCTGGAATTGTAAACATGATAATCGGAAATCGTTTTCGTACCTGATTCGTGATGCACTTAAATAATGCTAACATTGACTTCAATCTCAGCTTCGAGATGGTCAATCTTCTCCTAATTTTACATGTATATATATCGTGTTTCGACTAATATGCTGTCAAAATTTGAAAAGATTCTTATGGTTTCTCGAAAGACGTCTTATGGTTTCTCGAAAGCACACGCGCTGCTTTGTCGGACG